ATCTGACTCAATTAAATAAGTTAATAAAATATGAGCTAAATGCAAAAGCAGGATTCATAAGAAGATTTCTCTTTTTATCTTAAAAGAAAAAAATACTGTTCAAATTACATCACAAACTCAAGGCTCCAGGGCCAAATGAGCCTTTTTTGTGGCCCGGGAGAGCTTCAATATTTATGCACCAATATTAAATCTGACAGCGGATTCCAAAAGAATATTATAAACCATAATGAGGGAAGTTATTGATGTTTGTTTAGGTGAAATCAGCTCATTTTCTTGCTGCAGTTCACAGCAGAACCAATGGGGCCTTTGTGACCATTTCACTTTGTTGTTATCTATTTTTGCTCATAACTTCCTTAGTGTTCAAGATATCTCCATGAAGTTTTAGGAAAACTTTCACATTCTGGTTTTTGTAGGAAGCATCTTCTATCCTAGAAACTAAGAAAACTTCATAATAGCCAATCACGGATTCTTGAAACTTTGGCAAAAACATGTCCCCCACAAAAAGGGCTAATTTCTGTTAGAAATAATAACATTTTCATTAATAAATGAATTTAGGTTATCATCCAGGGGTCCTTTGCACATATGTATGATTGTTTTACATTTTTTTTATTTGATTAATTTAACGGATTTTCTGCTGGCCCGCTGCCCACAAAATCACTTGTCCTCAGGCAGGAGATATCTAGTTCAACTTGATTAAAAAAACAAAAGTAATAATTTAATTACCTCTGCCAAGGGAGGAGGTAACGTTTTCAGTCACGTCTGTCTGTCGACAAATTTACTCAACGATTTATGGACGGATTTTCATGAAATTTTTACCAAAGGTGGATATTGGTCAAAGAAACACACCATTAAATTTTGGTGATGATCTGGATCCAGCAATTTTTTGAGGAATTCCTCACTGTTGCAGGACAGGGGAAATTGGCCTTGGCGGAGGTTTGCGCCCTCTGCGTGCTTCTAGTTAGACCAGTGAATGTCGTCATCCCTCCAATAGGTGAAGGTGAACAAGACTCAAAAGTAGCGAAATTCACAGTGTAAATTTTCTATTTTGCTGCATTTACACTGGCTACTTTTGTTGCAGCCCAGTTGCACTGGGAAGTGGGAATATCCCACTTACAAGTTGTAAATTAAAACTGCACGCCCTGGTTTATACTTCCACAAGATGTGAGACAGCCAATCAGAGATTACGTCATTTTAGGCATCTTTTTCCTACTGTTTATGCTAACATAGAAGAAGCCAGGGATAACTCCTCATAATTCCTCCCACAGCAATTACAGTGTAGCCCATAGGTAAACACATAAACAGCATCAGGATAGATTTTGGTTTTCTTTAGTTGATGATGGATCAGATGTTTAAAGACAGGCTCATATTGTTAGATGAGGAGGAAACACAACAGAGATGGAAAGAAGACGTGAACGTCGGCTGCACTTTCCATCTAATTTTGCAACCGGCTTCTGGGATCCGACCATTTTCAGCAAATTAACACGCACAAACAGACACGCCCACCAAGCTCTGACCAATCAGACACTGCGAGCCGCACTGGTCTGTAAAACAGAGTTCTGACTGGAGGCAACGTACAGGACAGATAGTCAACAGGRGATAACAGAAGGAAGTTACACAATTTTCCTCACACAGGATACGAGACTAGAGATAAAATCAGCCTCAACTGTTAGCTTTTAGGTCTAATCAGGATTCAAAAATATTTTCCCAAAAGGAGCTTCTCCAAAGAGCTAACTACAACAGGTAAGATATTTACTGTTCATAACCTTCACACAGATCCTGTCATTTTAAATTAAAGCCTTTCATTGTGAGAATAGTTTAAGGATGTTTACAGATCAGCTACAGTGTTTTTAATGTTCAGATCAGTTATCTGAATGCAGCCCGACAGCTTAGTGATTAAAACTGTTGCCTCAGAGTTTACATGTCYTCCCTCAGTCCTAAGCAAAAACAAGCATAGCAAAGCATCTGTGATCTCAGTAGTGTTCGTCTGTTTAAATAAAAGTTGAATCAAAAATAAAAAGTGTAGTTAAACTGTCTGCAGCCTTCTCAGCCTCCCACAGAGCTCTGCCTCCATCGCTGTTATCAGTGACAACTGAAATCAGGAAAAACCTTTCAGACATTTATCTCGTATTGACCGAGTCCGGCCCGTAAATTCAGCTTTGATCGATAACTGTGATATCACCTGAAGCTGCCAGAAAACTCTCTCGTTATCTAGAAACTCAAAGTGCACTTTTCTGTTCTTTACCTTCTGCAAAACAAACGGATCGTTTCTGGACTGGTGTTAGCTGTCAGCAAGCAGAAAAACACTGAACCGTCCTACAAAACACTGCACAGATTCCAGCACAGGACCACGGGCACCATTTCAATGTTATATTATTCTAAAACACAAAAACAAAACAAAACAAAAAAAGGTAAAAAATACAGAGATTTAAAGCTAAGAAGAGCCGGAGCATCAGGGCAACCTGGTGTTGGTTTGACTCTGGTCACCCTGAGCCTCAGGTGTTTTCTTGTGCTTGTCACACTTAACGTCTTTGTCTCCATGGAGTCCCGTGTGTGTGTGTGTGTGTGTGTGTGTGTGTGTGTGTGTGTGTGTGTGTGTGTGTGTGTGTGTGTGTGTTTAATTAGGTGAATATGGCTTGTAGTGTAAA